AGCAGCGATGTGGGCCATGGAGAGTGTTGAGGGTGGAAGGGGCTGTCCTATCTCGTTCCTGAGCAGGGAGGGCAGATGCTGATCCTACACCCGAGCGGCTATGGGGTGAGGCCACAACATTAGTAACAAAGAAAGAGAATTTCCGGAGGATGAGGCCCAGAAATCAGGCTTTTAAAAAGATTCCCAGGTGATTCTAATGTGCAGCCAAGGTTGGGAACCACTGCCCTAGCCCATGGCTCGTAGTGCTCCACGCAGGCTGCACGTGGACCTCGAGAGCTGGGGAGCGGCCTGGTCTGGCCCCCGAAGCTCGGCTTTATGGATGTCCCAGCTTGGTCCCCAGCCAACATGGGGGACACTTCACCAACTGCACAAACTGCAACACGGAACCCTGGGCCATTGCTGTGTCCCCTCTGTGACTTTGAACAGAAAATGATACTGTTGGCGCCTTACCATCACCCTCCCCCTCCCCCACTCCAAAAGAAACCAGTGAGACCCACAGAGCTCGCTGCGATGCTGCGATTGCTGGACACCTGTGATGTCCAGTGTCGAGGCCACTGACCACGTGTGGCTGTTGAGCTTATGAAACGTTGCCAGGGCAGTTGAGGAGCTGAATTTTATTAAAATTTAAAAGTACATTTGAACGATGGAATACTACTCAGCCATAAAAAAGAAGGAAATCTTACCCTTTGCAACAATATGGATGGACCTGGAGAGCATTACGCTAAGTCAGCCGTGGGCAAACTACGGCCCGCGGGCCGGATCCGGCCCGTTTGAAATGAATAAAACTAAAAAAAAAAAAAAAAGACGTACCCTTTTATGTAATGATGTTTACTTTGAGTTTATATTAGTTCACACAAACACTCCATCCATGCTTTTGTTCCGGCCCTCCGGTCCAGTTTAAGAACCCATTGTGGCCCTCGAGTCAAAAAGTTTGCCCACCCCTGCGCTAAGTGAAATAAGCCAGTCAGAGAAAGACAAGTACCATATGATTCCACTTACATGTGAACTCTAATGAACAAAATAATTTAACAAACAAAATAGAAACAGAGGCATAGATACATGGAACAGACTGACAGCTGTTGTCAGAGGAGGGGATTGGGGGGCTGGATGAAAAAATGTGAAGGGGTTAAGTAAAAAAAAAATATATATATATATTTATACACACATATACACATATATAATAAAAGGCTAATATGCAAATTGTCCCTACCGGCAGGAGTTCGACCGACCCAGAGTTAGATGTGTGCTGACCACCAGGGGGTGGCACGAAACATGGCGGGTGTTGGCAATGGGGCAGGCGCTGGGGGGAGGGGAAGCACCCCTCCCCCACCCCCATAGCCCCTGGGGACCCTACCCATGCATGATTTCATGCACTGGGCCTCTAGTATATAGATAACATACTGACACAGACAATAGTATAGTGATAGCCAGAGGGAAAGGGGGATGGAAGTGGGCAAAGTGAGGGGGGGACAAATGTGAACAAAGAGACGTTACTTTGGGCGATGAGCACACGATGAGTGTGCACTTGGAACCTGTATGGTTTTATGAACCAATGTCACCCAATAAATTCAATTAAAAACCCACACATTGAAATGGCCATGTGGCTGGTGGTTACCATGTTGAACACAGTGCTAGATGCCACCTCCCGCCGGGTTCAGAGTGGGGCCAGGCTCTCAGGGCAGAGGTCCCTCTGGAACCCAGCCTGTGGGGGGAGAGGCCTCAGAAGCCTCATGCAGAAGCCCTCATTGTCTCCGGGCTCCCTTGGACATTTTGTGGGAGTCTCTCTCCCAGGGAGAACTACCCTCCACGGGGTCACCCACTGGGAGCAGCTTTCTTGGGCGGCTTTGTCCCACCCAAGCAAGTCATGTCTAGCTGACCCTGGAACAACGTGGGGGGTCGGGTGCCAACCACTGTGCAGTCAAAAACACATGCAGTTAGTGCCTATTCTGCATGTCCCGTGTATGAAATACTGTGTTATTACAATAAACTAGAGAAAAGATAACGTTACAAAGAAAATCATAAGCAACAGACACAATATTTAGTGAAAGAAATCTTCGTGTAAGTGGACCCATGCAGTTCAAACCTGTGTTGTTCAAGGGTCAGCTGTCATTTCTCTCGCCCTCAGCCCGCTGTGGGTGGCATCGAGCATCTGAGGAGGCAGGAGGGCCAGGGCCCTTCTTTATTGGGGGTGCATTTTGCCTGCAGTTTAATGCCAAGGTCGTGCAGGGCTGCAGCGTCCAGGATGTTGACACAGAACGACTTCCCTGTCTGGAAGCCACCCAGTTAGAACTGGGAGCAGCTTCTCCCAGACCCAGCTGCCACTCACCTTTGCATTATCTCAGGAGGAAGAGTTTTCTCAGTCAATATTGATGCATGCCTTGGTGAGAGGGATGAAGCCAACTGCTGTCCAACCCTTTAGAAGGACTGCCTTGTGCCCCAGCCGCTTTCTAAGGGAAGGCGCGTCCTCGCTGCTCCCAGCAGCCGGTGTTCCTGGGAATGACTCTCGAAACGGCGCTAATTGGCGGCGCGGTGTGTGCTGTGTTCCAGGCGGCGGCCAGGTGGAAGTCAAATCCGAGAAGCTGGACTTCAAGGACAGGGTCCAGTCGAAGATCGGGTCTCTGGATAATATCACCCACGTCCCTGGGGGAGGGAATAAAAAGGTAAAGGGGGCAGGGCCGGGGGAGGCTGTTGGCCCCGGCTTCCAGGGGAGGGAGCTGGAGGCCCTGCGGGGACTGGCGCCATGTGGTCCTCAGCAGCCCCCAGGACAGCGGGCTCGCCTTAGCTGCCCGCTGCAGTCACCTGGGGGTGCGATGGGCCTGGAGCCGGGGCCCCACCCTGGAGATGCCGACTGGTCTCAGGTGTGGTCTGGACACCTGGAGGTTTTAAAACTGATGGTCCGTGGTGAGAGCCGAAAGGTTGGCGACCTCTGCTTTAGTGCAAATGTGAGAGCCGCTGTCCTAGGCCCCGTGGCTGCCAAGCAGCCACAAAAGGCAGCAGCCATCCCCAAGCCAGCCCAGGCACCAAAGACAAGTCCTGGGGACAGAACCTCACTTTCTAGATGGGTCACCAGGCAGTTAGAGCAAAACAGCGACAGTGAAACCCCGAGTTCAGCCAAGCCGCTGCCAGGGCGTGCCCCCGGGGAGGCCGGCAGTTTCTAGTCGCTGGGTCTTGCCTGAGTTCCCTTCAGTTTGGGGGATTTGGGGTCATTACTAGGACCCTGTCATTTCTTCTCAAGAACAAAGCTTTTAAAAAACATGAATGTTCTTATCAAAACTTATGTGAAAAAGGCCCTTCCACTACAGAAATATGGAAGAGTCCTTTGGTCAAAGCGCTGGCCCCAAATGGAACAAAATCAGCACATATATGGCTTCAGTGGGAGTCTAGTCTCTCTACAGCCACACGCAAGCCCATGCGGTAGGGACCCTTCACCTGGGCCCACGGGAGAAACTGTGTGTGTTTCTATGGTTTCATCAGACACTCGGAGAGGTCTTAGGACTCCCGAGAGGTTGAGAATCACTGCGTCCATCACTTCAGGGCTCATCAGGAATCACTGTACCACTTGCCTCTCTGGCTAACGCTTCCTGAGTTTCCCAGGTACCACTGGCGCTCTGCCCTCCGGGGTGGCAGACTGTTTCTCTACTTTTATAAAAGGGCTTTGTCACACCCATCAGTGCTGCCCACAGTTGCCGCCACCTCCAGACTCATCAGTCACTGGCAAAGGGGAGGGGTGTGCGTGGCCCCTGGCAGGGCAGCTGTGGCTCTGGGGGCGTCCCTTAGTCTTCTCCGGCGAACTTCAGCACTTGCATTGCAACTGGGCGGCATGTCGGGATAGAATGCGCATGCGCACGCCGTAGGACCTGCTAGCAACTCCACTTGTAGGACACGCTTACAGGGTGTGAAATGCTGTGTGTTCAAGGTCATCCAAGGTTATTCACACACAGCATTCTTTGTCACAGCAAAAGCCTGGAACAGCTGAAACAGCCACCCCCAGGGGGGCAGATGCCCGTGGGTACATCCGTCCTGGTGGAATGCCAGGCAGCCACCAGCAAGCCCGTGGGAACTACCGCTGATAGCAGAAGGTTTAAGTCTACAAACCAAAGTACAGAGCCAAGTACAGTGCATATTGTTACCTACGTATTAAAATAGACGGGCACATGCATTTTTTACGTGTTCACACATACGCCCGTGCGGGATATGTCTGTAAGGGTCCACAAGACACTTCGGGCGGCCGCTGCCTCTGGAGAGGGGCACAGGGTCGCCGGGAGGCAGGAGGGAAGAACTGCACAAGTGTTTGCTATTGGAAATGATGAACCCACAGCGCCACCCCTTCGTTGGCGCCCTCGCACCCGGGCCAGATTGGCAGGGCCGGTGCCCCTTTCTCCGGCTCTTCCTCTCAGCCTCCCTCCCCTCCTGTCTCGCAGATTGAAACCCACAAGCTGACCTTCCGTGAGAACGCCAAAGCCAAGACGGACCACGGGGCGGAGATCGTGTACAAGTCGCCCGTGGTGTCCGGGGACACGTCTCCGCGGCACCTCAGCAACGTGTCCTCCACGGGCAGCATCGACATGGTAGACTCGCCCCAGCTCGCCACGCTAGCTGACGAAGTGTCCGCCTCCCTGGCCAAGCAGGGTTTGTGATCAGGCCCCCGGGGCGGTCAATAATCGTGGAGAGAAGAGAGTGAGAGAGTGTGGAAAAAAAAAAGAGTAATGACCTGGCCCCTCGCCCTCTGCCCCCCAGCTGCTCCTCACAGATCGGGTAATCGGTTAATCACTTAACCTGCTTTTGTCGCTCGGCTCTGGCTCGGGACTTCAAAATCAGTGATGGGAATAAGAGCCAAGTCCATCTTTCCAAATTGATGGGTGGGCTAAGAATAATAAAATGTTTTTAAAAACACGTTAAAGATGGCCACACCCAACATTTCCTTGGGCAATTCCGTTTGATTCTTTTTTCCCCCCTCTGAGTAGAAGAGGAAGGAAGTCAGGCTCTGAAAGGTGCTGCTGGGGTTTTCAGGGGCCTGGGGGTGCCCTCTGGCCCCATCCTGGGGATGTCACAGAGGCTGTGGCAGCAACAAAGGATTTGCAACTTGGTATGTTGGTGTGAGCTGGACAGGTAGGGGTGGGGGGAGACACAGGAGAGGCTGAGGCAGGGGTGGGCAGGGGAGCGGGAGAGAGGGAGGGGGGAGGTAAGAGTACGAGGGAGAGGAGACCTGCTCCCTATGGAAGGGCAGCAGGGAGCACAAGCAGCCTCCACTGGGGCCTCCTGCGGCTGGTGGCCAGGGTCTGTGCAGGTGGGTGTGCCTCCCTCAAGGGCAGGGCAGGGCAGGGCAGGGCAGGGCAGGCAGGTTGTGGAAAAGGGCTCCAGTCCTTCCCACCTGCCTGGCAGGAGAAGGCTGGCTGGCGGGAGGGTGGCTGGCAGCCGGTGGGTGACTTCCTTAGAGAAGACTGGCCCCCGGCCTCTGTCCCCCCTGCAGGGGCGGGGCGGGGCGGTCCTGACCTGAAGGGCTTCCCTCCACCCCAGGGACACTCTGTTCAATTGCGTTCTGATGGTTGGTAGTGCAGCCACGATTTTGGCCACCTCACTGATCTGGGACTTTAGGGCTAACCAGTTCTCTTGTAAGGACCTGTGCCTCTTGTGGGACACCCGCCTGTTCCCAAGCCTGGGCCGCTGGCATCTCTGGAGTGTGCGAGGGGGGGCGGGGCGCAGAAGGGGGTCCTGAGCCTCCTGTTCCTCCCACCCGACTGCAGCCAGCTGCCTGGCCCCACCACACCCTGTGTCTGCTGGGTGAAGCCCAGTCACTGCCTGTGCCCCTCATTATGTCACACTGTCCCGAGTCCCCAGCCTCACCACCCTTCTCAGTAGTTCACATTGTTTGGATGTGGGAGGCACCTAGTCTTAACTAAGGGGTGAAATCAAGGGAAGGCAAAGTCCGGGCACAAGGTGGGACCTCGGTTTCTAGGTCTAAGTTACACTCATCCAACTGGCCTGTCCCTCATGATGAACCCGATGACCTTACCTCCCATCCAGACATGGGGCTTGGCAAGGCCAGGATGGGGCTCAGCAGTGACCCTGGATGTGGACTTGGAGAGCCTTTCCCTCCCAGAAGGCCTGCCCCTTCCTGTGCTGAGCTGCAGCAGGTTGGATGTCCTGGTTGTCAGAGATGGCACCAGGACAGGCAGGCCCCCCGGGAGGGACCACGTTCCCTGTCCCTCACCTCCACCCCAGCCTCTGACTGCCCGCCTCGCAGAGAGCCCCACGCTGCTCAGCCTCAAGTGCATAGAGTCAGCCCGCCACACCCCACAAGGGGACACGCCCACTTGGAAATGGTTCTCCCCGTCCCAGCTGGAAGCAATGCTGTCTGTCCACTGGAGCAGCTGAACATATACATAGATGTCGCCTTTCCCTCCCCGTCTGCACCTGTCGCGTTGTCGTCAGATTTGTCTGTTTATGCTTGGATTCACCTGAGTGACTATGATAGTGAGAAGAAGAAAAAAAAAAGGACGCATGTATCTTGAAATGCTTGTAAAGAGGTTTCTAACCCACCTGGTGGGGGTCCTGGATCGCTCTCCCCTGCGCTGGGACCCCAGGCCAGTGTGGCTCTCCCCTGCTTGGCCTCCCGAGAGGTTTCCTTCAGCATCTGGGACCAGCAGAGCGCAGATTCTGACAGCCAGCGGAGGACCCTCGGCTGGAAGAAGGCCTGACGCACAGGACGAGGACCAAGGAAGCTGGTGCCCCTCCCCACCCCGGGCTTCCCTTTGCCGGGCAGAGCTGTGTCTTGGGCTGGCTTGGCTTGCAGCGTGAAAATGCCCTCTCTGGCCACAGCCTGGAGAAGCCCCACAGCAGCCCTGCATCACCAGGAAGATGAAGCCAGCGCCAGCTGGGGAAAGGTCCCAGGGCCTTGCTGCCACAGCTGCCCGGCAGAGGAAGGATGATGCGCCAGGAGACACCGTTCCCGAAGCCTGGCCAGAGCCCCGAGGACCTTGCAGGAGTCCGTCTGCTGCCTCGGGGAAAGGGAAGCAGCCTCTGTGGAAATGGCTGCTTAAAGAAATTCAGCCTCGGGACCGGTTCTGCCACTTCCGGTTTAGATAGTTGAAGGCAACTGGGCTGGAGGCTTCATTTGCAGTCAGAGCTTTCGGCTGTCCTGCGAGTCCCAGCTGCTCTTGGGGTTCTGAGAAAGAAAAAGGAAATGTGGTTTAAAGGACCGGTAGCTGTTAGAGGTGGCCCCTCATCACTGCCACTAATGCGCTGCATCTCCTCTTCCTGTAGTTCCTGTGCCCTGTTCTCTGACACCTGACTCCGAGGGCCCTGGAATCTCCCTGGGAGGGTGGGCTGCTTGGGGTCTGCCTCAAAATTATGGTTTAGGTCAGTGTTGGGGAGGAGAGACAAAGGGGTGCTGGCTTGTGACCTTAAATGAGGACAATCCCCCAGGGCTGAGTTCTCCCCATTCCCTCTCTCCAGTCAATGTCCCTTGGGTGGGCTGGGTATGCTCTATGCCTGGTTCCTTCAAGCTCTCCATTCTATCAATAGTTCCATTTAAATTGACTTCAATGGTGAGACTGTATCCTGTTTGCGATTGCTTGTTGTGCTATAGGGGTTGGGGGGAGGAACCTGTAAGATAGTTACCATGGGCAAGGGGAAGTCTTGGAGTACAGCAGTTAAACCTCCTTGTAACCCTTTTCTTCACCATTTCAACCGCATTTGCTAGAGGTCCTGGGGGTGCCGCCTTTTCACCGACTGGATTCCCAAGTGCAGTAGCTGCCAGCTGCTTCCCATGTCCTTCCCAGCCAGGTGCAGGCGGTGAGGCTTGTGGAGGAATCTGGAGATGTGGTTGCTCTGGTCTCTTGCTGGGCCCCAAGCCCACAATCGTGCCTCCCAGACCCTGGCAAACTTTGCTGTAAGCCGTGGGCACCTGTGTCACTTTTCCCACTGACTCTGGACATGCAGCCTGTATCTAGCAGCTGCCAAGATCTTTTCCTTCACCCTCTTTTATCTTTGTCCCCCAAGAGGCAGGGATGAGGGTAAAGATGGAGGTCACTGTGTCCCATCTATAGATCCGTGGCTTCATGAGACTTCTAGTTGCTCTTCAGTTTTGAAAAGGGTTGTCCTGGGCACTGACCCAGGCTCACCTCCTAATGGACTTAGCCCATGAATTTGCAGTGTCTGGCAGGGCAATTTCTGACACTTGCAAGTCCCATGATTTCTTCAGTAATTTTAAGGGTGGGGGGTGGGGTGGGGGGAAACAATCTTAGCTTAGCTTCCTGTCTGTGAATGTCCATATGGTGTATTGTGTGTTTTAACAAATGATATACACGGACTGTTGCTGTAAAAGTGAATTTGGAAATAAAGTTATTACTGATTAAATGAGGTCTATGTGCATAAATTCAAAAGACAAAGAAATGCTATGGGATGTATGATTTTCAAGTCTTTTTTCAGCTTTGGAGAACTTAGCTCCGAACAGGGAAAGACAATGTTGTTAAAACCGGGCCATGAGGGTTTACCAACTCCCTCTAGGGCCCAGAAGGTGGAAGAAGAGTTCTCAGCCTTTTTTCATTTTCAGGCCGACTGTCTCACTCTGGTGCTCACAAAGGTCCTGGTCAATACCCTTGGGGCTGACCCATTCTAGTGATTTCAACCCTGAAAAGACTGGGGTTGGTATATGAGATATTTCCTTCCCTGGAAATGAGCCTCGAGGCCTGGGGCTGAAGCAGAACACCAGCCAATCAGCTGAAAGAATGGCTTAGCTCTCTTGCAGGCTTACAGAGCTGCCTTCCTCCTCTTGGGAGCAGTACTGGGGAACAGGTCTGCTAAATCAAAACAGGGATATCAGCCAACCCCTAGCAATATCACAAAGGGAAACAATAACAAAACAAACCATCATCTTATTGTTCCTCAGTAATCAGTTCAAGGTCTTAACATGGAGCCCTTAGATTTTCCAAGTTTCAAAATATGACTTTGCTCAGCTTTTCCTTAGCCACTGCAGACAGAAGCTGAAGTAGAGATCGCAACTGTAACTACAGGAGTAGCAACAGGGCGGCCACAGACAAACGTGACCTCGCCAACTGCTGCTTCCACGACCAGGATAGGCAGCTCATTGGCTGTTTCAACTTGACTGCCACGAAAAGGAAAAAAACAATAAAGAACAGGCCCACCCACTTACTCATCTTTATAGAAAGAAAATCAAGCACCTAGCCTCCTCAGATACTCTAATCTCAGGCAGCAGGTAAGCAGCTCAGGCTCCATACAAAGTATATGTTCTCACTGGCCCCTACCCGCTTTCTGGTGATAAGATGACCCTGCGAGGGGCCCACACGACAGAATAGAGACATCCCAAAGTCCACAGCAAGTCAGGACACCAGAGAACTGTGCAGCAATACCATGTCCAAGTGTCAAAAAAGGCCCAGCACACAACATTCTGTAACTTTTTTTTATTATTTTTTTCATTTTTTCCTTCCTTTTTTTTTAAGCACTAGTCTGTGCTTTGCGAACAGAATCAAGACATTAACAAAGATCAGCTTCTCTGAAGAAAAGCATTTCTATAGAACAAAGACAGCTACATGTTTCGCTGCCAATACACAGCTCAAAGCAGAAAAAGAAAATATTTACAAAATACAAGGTTTTTTTTTCCATTTTTGTTTTTGTTTTTTTTTTGTTTTTTTACAATGCTAAAAGGGTTATTCAGACCTTTCAACCTTATAAATAGAAGAAGCACTTTATGCATAGGGATATGGTGCATTATTGTTTTTTTAAAGAAACAATGACAAACCCTTTAACTTGCAAACAGAATCAAAAAGAATCACTAATGTTGAAAATTGTGAAAAAACCCCAACCATTAAGCAGTTTGCTTACTATTTTTATATGATTACAAAATGGCAAAAAAAAAAAGTCCTTATTGCCCCTTTTGGTAATGTGATCATACATGAGACAGGCACAAGGTTAACAACCAGGGAGTGATCACGGGGTAGCGATGGGAACCACAGCTGGGACGAGACAATGTTCCACAGGAAAGGGAAACTTAAAAGAGGAAGGGCCGAACTGACACTGACAGGGAACTGGAGGGGGAAGGAAACGACTGAATGAATCAGCCGGAGAAAACAGAATTACATAGAAGAAATGGCTGCTCACTTCCCAGACCCCTAGTTTGCAGAGGTGGGAATAGAGGTTAAGTAGTCCTAACTCTAGCTTCATGGAACAGGAGAGGGTAAAAAAGTCCGAGTGGAAGAACTGGTGTGCGTAGGTATGTATATGGCATGGGGAGCAGACAAGAGGGCACGAAGGGGCAGGATGGGGACCTGAGCAGCCACAGCCAGGTTAACTGCAGTTAAGGAGTCAATACAGAGATGACCAAATGCAGAGGAAACCCCACATCAGTCTCCGAGATCTGGGTGACAGGGGAAGCCATTCTAGCTGGCAGTTACAGCTGAGGCTCTGGCGCGGGTGCTCCAGCACAGATGGCCAAGGGAGACCCAGCCAGGAGGGCCGGAGCTGAGCCAAGCCACAGGTGGGAGGGGAGCGGAGGAGTGGGGAGGGGTAAGAACCCAGAGCAAGCTGCTCTCCCACCCTAACCTAAGGTGGCAATACTGAGCTGGAGCTTTCCATTCCCTCTGCCCACTTGGCTGTCCCACCCTGCCCACAGGTGCGAGGGAGAGGTGGTCATCAAACGCCGCTAAGTCCAGTGATTCAACAGTGCAGAGGATGTGCCAGGACCAGGCCGGCAGGGTCTTATCCTGAACTTCTGTTTGCCAGCTGGAGGAAGTGCTCAGGTGTGTGACAACAAAACATGGAAACCAAAACCAAAACAAAAATCAAAATGAGAAAAAAAAATACCAAAGTAGAATCTAAATTCCTTAAATTCACTAAAAACTGTGAAAATTTCCGGCATATGATGTTTGAATATCAAACGCAGAGATTTCTGAAGCTTTAATGCCAATAGTTAGTGAGTCTTTAGATTCTCGTCTCCCGCTCATCTGTGAGTTGGACGCTGAGCTGTGACTGCTGCTGCTAGATGCCGACTCTTGAGGGGGACAACGGGAGGTGAGGTGGGTGCCACCTCTGTCTCTCGACCAGTCTTGCTGCCTGAGGTGCGCCGAGTGCAGCGAGCTGCCCGTTCCTGCGCATCCAGTTGGTCCTCACACTCTGCTTGGGGACTGTACGCCAGGGGGAAGGTTCGCCGCTCCCAGGGCTGGACAGACTGTGGGCAGACAAGTTGCCTTGGTGAGCACCCAGTACCAGCTGCCTCCTGCCCCAACACGTGTGGACTAGAGTCCCTGACCAGTCTCTCTCGAGTTCCTGGGTGGTTTGGGAAGACCCCTCACAGAGTGGGCGCCCTTTTAACCATGGCCAGTTCCATTGTGCCTTCAGAAGGTCAATTTCAAGTGCAGCCCCTCCTCCCCTTCACAATGGGAGGGAGTCATGACATGAAGATCCATCTTCAGCAGTGCTGCCCCTTCCCCATCTCACGCCCCACCTGCCAACCCATGCAAAGGCAGCATCCCTTACCTGCTCGTCTAGCCCCAGCTCTGGCGTGGAACAACGGGTGTCGTCACTGGCTAGGTGTCGTAGAGTGTCCCGTGCCACAGGGGTGAGGGGGGCCGAGTGCAGTTCCGGGCTGATGGGGCTCCTGGGGGACTGACCGTGGGAGAACTCCGACAAAGAGTGGCTACTACTGACATCAGGAGAGGGGGGTTGGGGGGTGGAGGGGTTGGCACTGCCCAGCTGGGGGGTTGTCCGGCCGTCTGATGACCTGTAAGACCTGTACACCAAGAAGTGCAAATGTGAGTGCCTGAGTAAAGGGAATTTCTAGTATATTATTGGGGGGTGGGGGAGGAGGGTTCTGGAGAGGCATGAAAGCAAGTGTCTCACCAGAGGAGCCAAGGTAGACTAACACCAACAGTTCTTTCCCAGGAATCACAAATCCCCTCATGTCCTCCCACCACCGAGTACAAAGGTGGCTACACAATATGACATCTGGAACTGTCATCCCAAAAGAAAGCCAGGGCTGAACAATGCCAGCGCTAATCCCTGCCCAATGCCTAGAACTCACAGGGGAAGGGAAATTAGTTCAGACTCGGAAAATTATAGTCAAAGGAAAGAGCAAAATCGAATCTAAATCTTTCTAGCTGAGAATCCCGAGGGCTTCTGCAACTGTGAACAATAACTGGAGATAAGGTGGGGCAGTTCTTTCGAGCACGACCACACAACCATGCTCCACTGTCCAAAGGAAAGACAGTGTGTGGTGAGGCCTCCAAATGTCAGTCAGCCTGCTTTTCAGGAGACCAGAGTCTGACTGCTTATACTCTCACTGGTTGCAACAAACACCAAGGAACTTCTGTATTCTCGGCTACTGCCAATGGCTGAATATGAAGAGCAAAAGCAATTGAGATGCAGTGGCAATTCCATGGACACGGCCCAAATTCCCTGTCGCATCACCTGCTGCCCCGCCGCTGGGGTGGCACGCTTGTGGTCCACAGCCACCTAGCCCTCTCCATCTCCTCACATTTGGCATGCAGGGCGGCGAAGGCTGCATCAGACAAGTCCTCGATCTGCAATAGAGCAGCTTCAATGATTAACAATTTCTTCCAGAAAGCTGAGTTTAAGAATGGGTAGGTCAATTCTAGAGCCAGCCCCACCCCACACTAGACTCTTCCCCGTCAAAACAGGAATGTGAGCTTGCAGCATTTGACACCACAGGTCTGGATGTGTACACCCACGCGTGTGTATCTTCTTTAAGAGAGAATGACCATGCCATTACCTCTTCGTTCTCTTCGTCAGGATTCCCCTTCAGAGACCGAAAATCGACCTCCCGCCAGCTGCAAAACCAAGAAGGGACAATCATGAGATGGCAATTTTCCAGAGCAGGATAAACATGTCCATGCAAGAATGAGAGCCATGTACCTATGAGTGACACTGCTTTCTGCTGGCAGGCTCTGCCCTCTTATAGTGCGTGTCCTCCTTTGCCCTGGAGGCCTCTAAAAGAGGCCCCACACTCAATATCCACAAGGGCCAAAAACCCAATGCAGGCTCGGAGACTGACAAAAACAAAGGAACCTATTTGAAGGGACCACCACTATTTAGCACCAGCAGATTGCTACCACATGGGATCGCATATACACGGTCACCCAATCTTCTGATATATCAACAAAAGCTAGAAACAGAGATTCATATGTGAAGTCCTGCTTTGATGCTGACGACAAATTCAGTATTTTAAAACACATTGTTGTGTCAAACAGAATAACGTCTATCACCACTTTGTGGCCTGTGGTCTAATTAGACCAGCGGTTCTCAACCTGTGGGTCGAGACCCCTTTGGCGGTCGAACGACCCTTTCACAGGGGTCGCCTAAGACCATCCTGCATATCAGATATT